TTCAGACAATCGCTGAGTTCGATGACGAGTCGGGGAGACTTGAGGCTGAATCAAAGAGGCTTGAAAGTGATTTGGAGGCCAAGTACTGCGCATGTGAAACTGTTCGAAAGCGATCAGTCGAGTTGACAAAGCAGTTGCAGCAATTAGCAGAATATCGACAAAAGGTAATGACAATTACAGTAAATCTGACAAGTCTTTCGTCCATCAGTCTTAGGGTTTTTTTGTTTTATGCGTTTCCTTACACCCAACCCAGGATAATAAAATTACTCACTGTACTTGCAGCTAATTCTGTTGAATAACAAAATTCTCATGGAAATTCCCTCACTGTTACTGCAGAAGATCTGTCCTATTTTTCTCGAAAGACCAATTTTTTAAGCATTTATGCGCTTTGCCCGTGAGTTATATTTTATGCGTCTTTTAAAGTGTTTAAACAAATCATTGTGCAGGGGTAGAATGAATTGAATATTGAAGTAGAGAACGATAAGTAGTTAACTGCAAAGAACTTATTGATACTCTTTACTCGTGAAGCCAACGATTATTGCAATCTCTCGCAACAAGCAGGTTTGCAAATTACATTTGATGCGGTATTTTGCCCCAAAGAGATACAAAAAGTTTACTTTTTTCTCCTTTATTTCCCGCTTTTCCAAGTCGTATGCTACTGGGTGATTGGTTAATGCAAAACTTTGCGATACCACTTCTGTTTATTAGGAAATGGGTTAAGCTTTGTCTGTGAAACAGATAAGCTGGAATCACATCCATCATACTCAATAGGCACTATTTGGAGTGAAGGCCCAAAGCAAGGGGAAATTGGGAGAGGGCACGGCAAAGTGCTCCACACATTTAGACCGCCCATATTTCATAAAATGTACGAGCAATCACATGCATTTTATAAATGTTTGCGAGTTTGAACAAATCGTTGCTGCGATCTGTGTCGAAGACCGCATGAGTTTGAGGCCACCTGGTAAATGTTTACGACTTTCAATGCTAAAATCGCCTTTCCTAGAACGTAAATTCAAAAATTCAATTTTTTCAGCATTGCCGCATCACAACCCGTACGCTTTCTTCTGTCAGTCCACATTCATTCCCCATCATTTTATGCAAAATTCTATTTATGATGACAAATTTCTTTTCATCCATGGGAAGTTGGCACTTTCGAGATATTTCTTGAGGAATTTCATGGCGTCTTGCCCCATACCCAACCTACGGTCTCACATGGAATCGAATGCGCCAGTTCGCATGCAACTTGATACCAGTAGTTGTGAGCTAATTTATAAATTTGCATGATTCATATCGTAATTGACATCTCTTCCTGTATCAATACATCCTCTTTCTTCGCTGCTTTACGCAGAAAATTTAGTCATTATAAATAGCTAGATTGTTTCATGGTATCTCTACTTCAGACACTGAACTTGGTCAAACATTTACTCTCATTGACGCACAAATTATATGCATAGCGGTATTTCAAATAACCATCTTCCTTATTCTAAAAGAGAGGCGCACATCTTGCTGGTCTCTTGAACATTTTCCCATGCTCATTCCTGCTGTATGATCGTTATTGAACTAAATATCATGAAGTCTTGCCTGAATCCCGTAGAATCTTGTGGATTTATAAGCGAAGCGAAATTTGCTATCAAAAAGGGTGGTGTCATCAATCTTCGGCGAACGTATTCATCTATTTCTTAAATTACTCATTATGTGTCTGCTTAGTCAGAAAGGCATGAACCGATTTTCATTCTTCCTTTGTTCAGTCTTACAATTTCCGCCAAATTTAAGCTGCAGAGTCTCCGTTTTTTCTTACAGAATCTCATCGAGTTGCAGATGCGTCAGCACGCCTCGCGGTACTGGGAACAGCTGTTAGCTGGTCGCTATCGCCGCATTTGCCCCACGCGGCAGGCGGCGCGCAGTGAACGTGAACGTCAAATCGGCCGAATGCGCTCCATGCTGGCGGTAGTGGACCGACTAACCTCTGAGTTTCCTATGGTATATTTCACTGCCTGGTTTCCTTTTTATCTCTTTTGATCCATATTTGCAATCGCATCATTCTCTTTTCAATTGCTAGACTTGTAAGGCCTAAATTCAGCAAGTATCACTTCCAATAAAAGTCAATACCCCTAAAGTTTCGTTACAACCCTTCCTGGATTTCCTCAGCCATTGTAAAAATACATTATCATTTCTATAAATGCGCACTTTGCTTACTTGCGTGTTTTAAGTCACCTATTGTCCAGTCTTTTTGTGAAGTCATTAAGGAATGAGTCCTATTTTAGTGACAGGTCAATGGATGGTTGGCAATCAAATAAATGATCTATTGATGGTTTAATAAGCGCTGTTCCAGCAATAGACGTTCTAAACATGGAAAAATATTTAAGAATAGAGAAATGGGTACCAGAAAAATTTGCCAGAACCATCGAATAGAGGACAAAATTTTGGAAAATTACGAAAATCGGTAAAGGGGTGGAGCCAGGTGAGCCTTTTAAGATCATTGGCTCATCTCACAGATTATGATGCTCGAACCACTGACGGGATCTGGAGTTGGAAACTCTCTTATCTATTCACCGTTTTCGCACAACCTTGTATTGATTTAGTAGATTAACCTCTTCTAGCCATGCAGGATTGAAAACTTGATATTTTAAAGGCAATTAGTCACTGAGACACTCAATCTTTGTTTAAATCATCAAATTTGAGTTGGTTGGAATATTCTAACGACTTATTATCGTCCAACCAGGTGTCGTTGTTATTGTGATACTTGACCATTGTTTCGGATTTAAGGGAATTTGCCGAATTTCATTCAAACAAATTAGGCTGAAAGTACACGTATTTAGTAAGTTGATTATGCACATTCCTTAGGAAAAGCCTTTGCTTATTCGCATTTATTAAGCAATATTTTAGGCCACGGTACTAATGCTGTTTTGCACATAAAAATTGGCATATGATCTCGAAAATAATTTATTTCTTTTTAGACATAGATGTATTACTTCAAATTCCTCCCA